TCACAAGAGTTTTAATTTCCATCTCAGAAAAGATCTGGGAAGCTGAGTGCCAACCAATGCAGTCAGTTGTCTCAGACTCCTGTTGGTTTCATAACAATATTTATTTCAAGAACCAACACATTAAGCTGGTGACATGTTGCAGCATTTCATTAAAAGTGCCGGGCTGTTATGTGCAGCAAGCGTCAAATGCATTTATTTCATTTCCTCTCTGGTTGGCTGTACCCCTCCTTCCTTGCATCCTCCCTGGCTTTCCTTTTATACTCCATGCCTTCTCAGCTCTTTCCCCTTATTGCATTCCAGCCCCTGTGCCCTCATCAATAGCTATGCCAAAGAATATATTACAGCCATTCTCCTGTGTTTAAAACTCTTACAGCAATCGGATGCGGAAAGTGCAATCTCAGTGCTGAGTCTTCTGAAATTACCTCTTAAATTCAGTGGCGGTCCTGTGTCCTGAAGTCATATGGGGATTGACCAACTGCCCCATTGCTCATCGGTGACTGGTGGATGAGGCCAAAGGCAATATAGGTGAGGGATGGAAACTGATTGTTCTGGGGCTGCTGTGACATCCCCAAGATCAAAATATACACAGTCCAGGTCCTCTGTTTAAACTCCTGCCTGAAATCTTTATTTAGCTCACAGAGTCTTCCTGATAATATTATGCAGTGTTATATTGGTGAAAATGTTTTCTCCCCCAAGTACTATTTACAGGAATCTTCACCAGCCAAGCTGCTGATTGCTTTGCTAGCTCTTCACTGCCTATTTAGCAAAAGATTATCTCCCTTGGCCATGAGAAATGAAAAGGTTTATGGATGTTAGTTCTTCCATTAAGTAGCTAATCTGACTTCCCTAGGAGGGGAGATTTCAAGAGGAAATATCCCTAGAAGACATTTTTTGGGGACATTTCACAAGTCTACCTAGACCCTGGCAAATAACTGTTTTTCATACACAGAAGACGCTTGCAGTGCAATAAACTCTGGTGATGACCACATAAAACAGAAATAGCCAACATGATGCCTTCCAATGGCGATGGAACCTGAGACCTTTTGCATGCAGAGCCTATGCAGAAGGAGGGCAGCTGGGTAGACTTGCCCTGAGCCTCAGAGAGCTAAGCCAGCCGGAGGGGCACCAGGGGCCTGTTGGACTTATGCTGTCATGCCAAGAAGAAGACTTCCACCCCAGACCTCAAACAAGCTCTGCATGGGCCTGGCTCTACCACTGAGCTACAGCCCTTCCTCTAACCTCCCTTTAGCAAAAGCTCGATAACCCAGAAAGGCTGCAGGTGATGCTTTTGCCATCATTTATGTCCACGCTAGGCAAAGATACTGGAGGCAGAGAGCCCTAAATGTTGTCAGCTCTTCCGCATTGGAATCCAATAATAATCTAGGACAGTCAGCAAACTGTAAGCCAGGTGCTTCAAGGACTCTGGTGGTTTCTTTCTTTCTTTCTTTCTTTCTTTCTTTCTTTCTTTCTTTCTTTCTTTCTTTCTTCTTTTTTTAATTGCATTTGGAGCTGGGGAACAAGAAGCCAGAGGAAGCAAAGTGACAAAGGGGCTTCCGGGCTAAGGCACCTTTTATTAAGCTGACATTTTGAGATGATGTGTTTGGAAAAGATTTTAAATGCAAGGAGATAATAGAAGCTGCATGAAGGGGGTAGGGGGTGGAATTGAATAATTCAAATGTGCATATAAAAGCTTCTGTCCTCCAGACACCTTGGGCAGAAAGCTACGGGTTTGTTTCCATTTCAATCATTTTCTTTTTTAACACGCTCAGTTCCTTCCACTTTATTTCTTCCTCTGATTACCGGGCCCCGTGAAACTTGTCCCCAGTAAGAAGCTGTTCCGTTTCAGCCTCCATATTAGGAATAAAAGAGATCCAAATTCCCTCCCTCTGCTGCCACTACAACACAGCAATCATGCCACACTATGAACATAATAGCTATAATAGCAGAAAGAGTTTTCATTCCAGCATGTGGACTAGAGAAATCACCTAGGGCTGGCTTTTATGTTTACTACCCTGAGCTGGCAACTTCTTATGTCAGTTTTATATACATGTTCATAGGCGTCAGAAGAGCTGGTTCACAGATGCACATTCACCATCTGATGACTCAAGTCATTACTTAACTATGCAAGCCATCAGGCATCGTCATCAAAGCTTTTGCTTCACTTGATGCCAACTCAGATCCAATATTTTTCAGTGGAGATTTCCCATGTAAGGGTCACCCAAGCCTTTTCATGCATTAAGAAAAGAAATAAAGAACTCCAATATGGCAAAGAGAACAGAGTGCTGGTCTAGGGCCAGGGAGACTTGGGACTCAGCTGCATTAGTAAAGAAAAAGTGTTTTAAACGTGCTATAACACTGTGACACTGTAATGGCATTGTGGAGTTCCATCTTTCGGCAATGTGATTTCCCATTATGAGGTTTACAAT